CTCTCCTTTAGAATTAATTACGCTAAACTGCTGTTTTTCTTTAAAGGAGATTTCAGGGGATAGTGTTGCTTTAAATCGTAAGGACTGTTTCAGAGCAATAGCAGCAGAGCTTTTCCTCAGCCTTAATTGCTCTAAAAAGCATGTATTCCACCAAGATGTAACACTCTGTTCCACATTTTCTGCCCTTTTGATCAACTTCTAGAGACTAGTGGATCCAAGTATTGAATAATCAAACAAGGACATTTCTGAGATTAAAACACAGTTCTACTAGTTATCTTGGGACAATGGGTATCGGTCAGTGCTACTGATAGTTATCCTGGGACAATGGGTATAAACCAGGATGGGAGGTTTCCTACTATTTTACCAAAGAGAAGCAGCATTTTGCATATTATGAATTCCTCACTGGAACTATGGGAAGCACAGATTCGCATCGTTTCCCAGCTGGGTAAGCCAAGGTGGACTCACCTGGTCAAATTTACGCTGCTTCTTCTCCAGCGTGCTGACGAGCTGCCGCTGCTGCTCCAAGTCCATGGTGGCGTCGTCCAGTTCCTGCTGCAGCCGTCGGCGGCCCCGATCCAGCCGCTCCACGGCCTCCGTCTTTTCAGCCAGGCGCTGGGCCAGAGCCTCGGCCTCTCGCGCTGCCCGCCGCCGGGCCTCCTCCCCTGCCTCCAGGGCCCCTGCTTCCTCCTCCTGGCGCCGCCGCCATTCTGAGAGCTTGGGAGGAGAGACAGGGATTCCTGACCACTGTGCTTGGGACCAAGGTGTTTGAGCTGGGTGTGTGCCCATTTCCAGGATGAAGCAACTGAGGCCGGAAGAGGGAAAGGAAATCATTCCGCTAGGCCTGCTGCTTCAAAAGGGCGTTGAGGTTGTGCATATCCAAGCTCGGCTGAGTCTTGGCACCTCTAGGGGATGAAAGGTCCTTTAAAGTGGGGACTCAGAGATGACTCCTTGGAAACAAGGATGGGAGCCTTCATTTCATGCATCTTAATCAGGAGGTACTAATCAAACCAAGATCAAACTAGGTAGAACAGGGTTGATTCTGACTCCAGGTAACAGTTACAGATTCAACTGTGGCTTCCCAAATACATATATGTAATGATACAATGTATAATCTATGTAATGATTTGTAAGATCCATAAAAGTGTAAAAGGATTCACAATGCAACACAACACCCCTTAAATCCCATCATAGGCCCTAATCTGATGTAAAGGGAGTTTCCCTAGGAAGTGGCCTGTAGAACCTTTTATTTCACCAAGCTGAATCAGGAGAAAAGTGAGCCGAGGTGGAGGACACCCTGCTGCCGTTAAGAAAGAATTGCCAGGAGTGGAGTGTGGCCTGCTGGGCCCGGGCTCCTGCTAAAAGAAGCTCCTTGACACCGGTGAAGACCAGGACATGCGAAGATCTCACGGAATGTCTAGCATACAAGATGCTGAAGAAAACAAGGACTCTCCTCTACAACTGATAGGGACAGGGGGTCTCCCCTAGAGATGGTAGCATGAGTTAGAACTTTAAGCCTCCTAAATGCTAAGAGAATATATTTCAGTTTATTAACGGCATCCATGCTTGGGATCCCTGTTACAGCAGCACTAAGACAGCAAGCCGTATGTCACAGAGCAGAACTGAACCACACACAGGTTTCCTTTCCTTCCTTCCTTCCTTCCTTCCTTCTTATTTTATTTTATTATTTTTGTTTATGTACCATCAAATTGGATCTGACTGGTACAGGAGATTGTCCCTCCTTCTCCAGCAGAGCATCTGGTGGATTCGAACTGTGTGCCTCTGGAATTGCAGTGCAGCTTCTTGCCACTAGGCCACCAGAGCTCCCTACAGTTTTCTTAAAGATGTAGTTGCAAGGCCTTTCTACATGGTCCCACTGCATAGGTTTTAACTGTCAATATTCTGAGACTTCATAGCTGAGCCTTATTAGCTACGAGGTCTTTAAAACCACTCACTTGGCATTTTTGTTATGACAGCTACAGCATCCTGAGAAAAAGTCTGTCAAGGGCTGAGTGGTGTCAGCTTGGCGGGGTCGGGATTCTCAGTGGCTTGGCAGTTAGTTGGGTAATGATGTAACGTGACAGTTCAGTGATGAGGTAATCAACCCCCACAATGCACTCTGGTGTGACAGAACTTAGAAGAGATAAAAGGAGGGAAGTAAAGAAAGATCAGAGGGGGAGCTCTGGTGGCCTAGTGGCAAGAAGCTGCACCGCAATCCTGGAGGGACGCGGTTCAAATCCACCAGATGCTCTGCTGGAGAAGGAGGGGCAATCTCCTGCTGATTTGATGGTACACACACACAAAATATAATTTAAAAAAAGAAAAAGATCAGAGGGACTTGAGATCTAAGAAAGGAGATCCAGGAGTGGAGCGTGTCTTTGGATTCAAGGCCCCTGTGCTGTAGCCTCCTAGACCCAGGAAAACAAATGATGCCAAGTCACAGAAACAGACTTGTAACTACGTAACTGAGACGTATCATCTGTGATATTTCTGCTACAGTCATTCTAGAGACACACTCACTAGTGGTATCTCTATCAGAGCAGCACTAAGCTTGTGGTTTCTTTATCAGAATAGCAGTACATAAGTGTAACTGAGACACACTGATTGGGAGTATCTGTTACAGCAGCTCTAGATAACAGAAACACTGGTGGTATTGCTGTTATAGCTCTAGTTACTGAGATACCCATATTTCCGTTATTTTTGTTATAGTAACTGAGATTGTGTTCTATAGCGGGGGCACCCAGGAAGAGCAGGGTGAGGGATGAGGTCTCCCCTCCAAGCCTTTCATGGAGGCTGCTCACCTGGGCTTGGGAGGCCTGCAGCTCCCGTCCCGCCCGCTCCTTGGCAGCCACCTCCTCTTCCAGCTGCTCCCTCAGGCCGGCCGCCTCGCCCTCCAGGGCTCGCACGCGGGACCCCAAAGCCAGCTTCGCCCTGGTCTCTTCCTGCAGCAGTTCCTGTACACAGGAGAGTGGAGACCAGCTAGGGTCAGGAGAAAGGGTTGGGGTGGGTGTCAGGGGTGGGGATCGAAAGGCGAGCCTGGGGTCACCTGGGCATCATGCAGCTGGGCCTCGGTGCTGCTCAGCTCCTTGCTTAACCTGATGGCTTTGGACTCGGCCTCACTCAGGGCTGCAGACACGTTCTCCAGCTCAGCCTATGAAAGAGGGAAGAGGGGTGAAGCCATTGCTGAGGCTCTTTGAAGCTCTTAGCCCCAGTTCCCACCACCACGGCTGGCAGGATGAATGCTGATGCTGTCGGATCCCCAAAAGGTGGTTCCTGGCTGTCAAGTTGATCCCCAGCTCACAGTGACCCCCCCCCAACAAAAGCACCAAGCACTGTCCAGTCCTGAGTCTGTCCCACACCTGATTGGTTTCAGATCACAGGGGATTGGGCTATCGGAAGCCCTAGGTTTCCGTTGGCCTTTTCAGAAACTGATTGCCAGGTCTTTCTTCCTAGTCTCAGTCTGCAAAACTCTGCTGAAACTCATTCAGCATTGTGATAGGACAGAGCAGAACTGCCTCTTAGGGTTTCCATGGCTGCAAATCTTTACAGAAGCGGACTGCCACATTCTCCTTCTCAGATTGTGAGTGGGCCCAAATGTTGAATTTTCAGTGTTAGCAGCTAAGTGCTTAAGTACCCCTCAAATGGGACCCTATAACCCAACAATCGTGCTCCCAAGTATATACCTCCAAAACTCACACACAGTCAAGCTGACTCTGACTCAAGGGAAGCCTCCACTTGAGTCTTAAGGAGAGCAGACTGCCACATCTATCTCTTAAGAGGTTAGGAGTCCAAGGGGGGCTCTGGTGGCCTAGTGGCAAGGAGCTGCAACTACAATCCCAGAGGCACATGGTTTGAATCCACCAGATGCTCTGCCGGGAAAAGGAGGGACAATCTCCTCCTGTACCAGTCAGATCTGATTTGATGGTACACACACACACACACACACACACACACACACACACACACAAAGAGGTTAGGAGTCCAGCACATAACGCCCTACACCACCAGGACACCCCTCACCCCCTTAGGTTCATCCAGGTGAACAGCAAATGCATAGGTTTAGTTAAGACCGTGGTCACAGATGTAATGGGACTCCCAAGAACCAGAAGGAGGCCACAAGGCAGTGACCACCGCCCCCCCGACCCCCCAGGTCCTGGCTGGCTGACAGGTCACTCACCTGGGCTCGCTGCAGCTTCTCGGCAGCCTCTGCCCGTGCCCGTTCCCCGTCGCCTGCCCGGCCCTGCACCTCCTGCAGCTGCGTCTCCAGCCGGCGCCTCCGCTGTTCACCTTCCTGCCGCGAGGCCTGCAGGCTGCTCAGCTCAGCCCGCAGCTCGGACACCTCGGCCTCCAGGACCATGCGCGTCTTCTCCCACGCACCTTTGCCCTGGCGAGGGGTCGGGAGGGGAGATGAGATGAGCGGGAAGTTTCTAAGTGTCCCCCTCAGGGTGGATGAAGGCCACCGTGGCCTTGCGAATGCCTTGTCCACAGCCACCTGGCACTCCTCACATCACAGCTGGAGCAGGTGTGTCTATCTCCTGGGGAGCAAAGTCTAGGACTGAGTCATTTCTGGGGTCCTGGGATCATAGCTCAGGCTGTTCTCCAGTCACAATGGTCTCCACACTGGTCTCATTATTCCTTAAACATCCCTGCCTCAGGGCCTTTGCTCAAGCTGCTCCCTCTACCTGGAACTTCTTCACTGCCCCTAAGCACCTAGGTGGCCTCCTGCCTCAGGGCCTTTGCACAGCTACTCCCTGTGCCTGGAACTTCTTCACTGCCCCTAAACACCTAGGTGGCCTCCTGCCTCAGGGCCTTTGCACAGGCTGTTCTGTCTGGAACTCCTCACTGTGCCCTCAACACCCAGGCAGGGTCTTTGTCCAAGTTATTCTCTTTGCCTGCAACTCCTTACTGTTCCTTGAATACCATGCAGCCTCTCCTGTTTCAGGGCCTTTGCATAGGCTATTCACGCTTTAAGACCCCTTCTCTGCTCTTTATTCCAAAGTCACTTTCTTGCAGAGTTCTTCTGTAGTGATTCTCTTTAGTATCATAAACCACACACCCCCAGCACTCTCTTCACTGACTCCTCAGAGTTCATCACACAGACACTGCAGTGTATGGTCTATGCTGTTTAGTGCCTGACTCGCCCACTCCTCACTGGACAAGGAGTTCTGATGGTTTGGTTCACTGCAGGGAAAAGCATTGTGCTGCCTGGAACAGCATTGTGCTGCCTGGAACATACAATGTGCACTCAATTAACACTTACTGGGTCAAAAATGAAAAGAGAACATGAATGTCCGAGGGGAACGGACCCTAGAGAGCAGGGCTGACTTGGAGCTCAGCAGAGGCACCTCATTGGATGGCTGCTCTCCTGGCCTCCTCCCTTGGGTCCAGTTCCCTCCCTCAGGCCCCTGCCCCCTCACCCTCCGGGCCTGTTCTAGCTGCTCCGCCAATTCCCCCAGCGCCTGGCCGTGGCGCTGCCTCAGCTCCTGCACCGCAGCCTCGTGTGTCCTCGCCTCCTCCTCCAGGGCCTTCTTCAGCTCCGTCACTTCCTGTTCTCTCTTGGACCTTAAATTTGAGAGATGAGGGGAACAGAATTTTAGAGAAGGCAGACACCGAGTCGGCGGGTGCCTCTGTTCCTTTTCATCTTCCTCAAGTTGGCTGGAGAGAAAGCTTACAGTGTGGAGTGGTTCTCCATTCAACCAGTCACACATGCATGGTTTTAGGTCACTGATTACACTCTGCACGTTGGGATGGTGCCGCTAGAATGTGTGGACTGAAGCAGGCGGGAGGTGAAAGGTCTCACTCAGAGGGAAAGCTCTAAGATTTAGCAAATGCTACACCAAAGTTTATCAGTGATCATAAGGGGCTTGCGGGGGGAAGAGGAGTGAAAGGAAGTTAGGGAGCACCCTCAGTGAAAAGGCTTGACACAGTGACCGTAACAATGGGCTCAGGCATCTCAGAGGTGGGGAGCACGGCGTATGCAGGGTCGCTGTGAGCCGTAGACCACTCGATGGCACCTGACAAGAACAACATCATGGGTCTGCTGCTGTAGTGCATTATGTGTGGTGATGCTAACCAAAAGGCCAGTGGTTCGAATCCGCCACATGCTCCTTGGAGAAGACAGGCAGTCTGCTTCCAGAAAGATTTACAGCTTCAGGAACCCGATGCAGGGTCCCTGTGCACTGGGGTCGAGCTCAACGGCAGTGGGTTTGGATTTGTGTTTTGGGTGATGGGCATGTTTAGAAATGGACAGAAGTGATGGTTGCATAAGATGTCCAATGTCATTAACGTCATGAAGTGCACAGTGACAAATGATTTATCGTGTGTGTGTGTGTGTGTGTATTTTCTCCCTCAAGATGATTCTAACTCTCAGTGAATCCACAAGTAAGAATAAAACTGTCCCATCAACAAACAAATGGATAGAGAAACTATGGTATATTCACACAATGGAATACTATGTTGCA